TGCTCCTTCTGGTGTGGAGGAGGCATACACAGCTTCCCATTGGCTGCAGGAGCTTCCTGCAGCCAATGGGAAGCCGGCCAGCGTTGCAGAAGGCAACCCCTGCTCTGCTGCATGCCGGTTTAGCATGGCGCATGGGAGCCAACCGAGCGGGTGGCGGGGGTCCCCGAGTGGGTGGCGGGGGTCCATGGGCTGGTTAAATGACCCCCATGGGCCTAAGGTTGACAGCCCCTGATCTAAGGAGTGGTATCAATGGCTTTACTGGAAAGGCACGGCTTTGAAGGAAGGAAGTGTGGTGTCATTATAAATATGGGGTTGTTTCTCTGGCTCATAAAGAGGAGCAGAAGAAAGAAAAATTAGACTTGCCACTAAAATTTGCAAAAGGGCGATCTGCTGCAATGCTATTCCAGATGTGCAATGCACAAGGGTATCTTCTTCTTTGGCAATCACTCGTAGCCAAGTAAGATTGTCTTCCATAAACATGGTTTTAACAATGAGTCCGTAAATGACTGTGGAGGCCAATTCTGGATCCACACACCCTTCCACAGTGGGGACATTGGTTTCCGGGGAGAGTTGATCATGGTGTGGATTTGCCAGGCGTGCCTTCCTCTTAGCACGTTTCTCCCTTGTGTCCTGAGTTTGAGTGTCTTCAAAGACCATGACACCTTGGGTAAAGGCTGTTCTCCAATTGGAGCACTCGCAGGCCAGTGTTTCCCAATTGTTGGTGTTTATACTACATTTTTTCCAGATTTGCCTTGAGACAGTCTTTAAACCTCTTTTGTTGACCACCAGCATTACGTTTCCATTTTTGCTTTTCCAGCTCATAAAGAGTCATTCAGGAGCAAAAGGAAGAAAAATTAGACTTGCCTCTAAAGTTTGCAAAAGGGCTATCTGCTGCAATGCTATTCCAGATGTGCAATGCACCAGGGTATACTTCACCAATAAAGCCCTATCCTACTCCTGCCTTTTCCTAATTCCATGTTAGGCAAGAGCTTTGCATGGCCACCATGTGATGCATTTCACATACAGCGATTGTTCCGAGGCAAAGCATGCAGATGTTGCCTGTTCCTGGCAAACTGGGCTCGCCCGCAGGGCAGTGCAACCATCCGAGGCAGCACTAGATGGCAGCACAACGCCACAGGCAGTAGGTTCAACTTCAAACTGCAGGGCCATGAGGATGTTACCCATGCTATGCAGTAAGAGGGGGTTGTTGTTGCTTAGTCGTTTAGTCGTGTCCGACTTTTCGTGACCCCATGGACCAGAGCATGCCAGGCACTCCTGTCTTCCACTGCCTCCCGCAGTTCAGTCAAACTCATGCTGGTAGCTTCGAGAAAACTGTCCAACCATCTCATCCTCTGTCGTTCCCTTCTCCTTGTGCCCTCCATCTTTCCCAACATCAGGGTCTTTTCCAGGGAGTCTTCTCTTCTCACGAGATGGCCAATGTATTGGAGCCTCAGCTTCACGATCTGTCCTTCTAGTGAGCACTCAGGGCTGATTTCCTTCAGAAGATAGGTTTGATCTTCTTGCGGTCCATGGGACTCTCAAGAGTCTCCTCCAGCATCATAAGTCAAAAGCATCAATTCTTTGGCAATCAGCCTTCTTTATGGTCTCACTTCCATGCATCACTACTGGGAAAACCATAGCTTTAACTATACAGACCTTTGTTGGCAAGGTGATGTCTCTGCTTTTTAAGATGCTGTCTAGGTTTGTCATTGCTTTTCTCCCAAGAAGCAGGCGTCTTTTAATTTCGTGACTGCTGTCACCATCTGCAGTGATCATGGAGCCCAAGAAGGGGTGAGGAGTCCCAAATGGAAAGAGCAATTCAACGATGGAACATGTTTTATGGAGAAACGGTACAACTGAACACAGTGAACATGGATCTGTTTGAGAAAATGGGGCGCTGTCTCCAACTACTTGAAAGATTCCACCAACAGTGTCTCTCAAAATTTTTACACATCACTTGGGAAGACAGGCAAACTAATACCAGTGTACTGGAAGAAGCAAAGATCACCAGCGTCGAAGCAATGATTCTTCAACACCAACTTTGTTGGACTGGTCATGTTGTGCAGATGCCTGATGATCGTCTTCCAAAGCAACTACTCTATTCCGAACTTAAAAATGGAAAGTGTAATGCTGGTGGTCAACAAAAGAGGTTTAAAGACTCTGACAACTGGGAAACACTGGCCTGCGAGCTCTCCAGTAGGAGAACAGCCTTTACCAAAGGTGTCATAGGCTTTGAAGATGCTTGAACTCAGGAAGAAAAGGAAAAACGTGTGAAGAGGAAGGCACATTTGGCAAATCCACAGCGTGATCAACTCCTGCCAGGAAACCAATGCCCCCACTGTGGAAGGACGTGTGGTTCCAGAATTGGCCTCCACAGTCACTTACGGACTCATTGTTAAAACTGTGTTTATGGGAGACAATCTTACTTGACTACGAGTGATCGCCGAAGAAGAAGAAGAAGAAGAAGAAGAAGAAGAAGACAGGGATGAGGATGGTTGCCAGCTTCCTGGTCCTTAGCCTCTGTGTTGCATTGTAGGGCTTAGGGGATGCAGGCAGTTCCCCTGAAAAATAAGAAGTTCCATAATTGAGAAGATCCAGTTGGGCGGCATCAAATTTTGGTTTTGCTCAGGTGCCTTATTACCAAAGTCTGCCCCTCCCTGTTGCCTTTGTAGAACTCAGCAGGGAAGTGGGTAGGGACAAACCTAAAATTATTTGGCTCTGCCTTGTTATTGGCTCTGGCTCAAACCACTGTCGGTCTCCCTGCCTTGTACCCTATCAGTCCCAGTGGCTGATAACTTGGGGAGCTGCTGCCAGTCAGTGTAGACAGTACTGAGCTAGATGGACCAGTGTTCCTAGCATTTGGAACTGGGGTTAGGAACCAGTGGTCCTTCAGAGGCTGGCAGACTCATCAGTCTCAGCCACCAGGGCAAATGGCCAGGAATGACAGAAGCTGCAGTCCAGCAACATTTGCAGAGCCACAGATAGGGAATGGGATTTTCTTAAAAGAATAATAATGCTTTTTAAGCTTTGCACACATTGAACAGCCTCTTGCAGTTATTATTAATGCATCGTGCATCCACTTATGTCTGAGCCATGTGTGTATTCTTCTTATTCTTATTATTTGTCAGACTAATTATATGCAAAATAATTTTTATTGAAATTTTACATTTTTATCATCAAAATATCATAACATATAACAAAAATGCCATCCCCCAATTTCCCCCTCCCCTCCCTGACTCCCCTCAGCTTCCTCTTCTACTTTTTTGTCATATTGTCTCTCCCTGCTTATTGGTTATTTCTTTTTCTTTAAAAAAATTAACATAATTATTATTCTCTTATCATTTTAACATCCTTATTCTATTCCCCATATTTGTTTTGTTAATTGCAAGTGTTTGATCAAACCCTGCAAGTGAGTCCATTTCTTTACATTGATTCTGTAGACGTGAAATGAGTTATATGCAAAATTGTGTGTGTGTGTGTGTGTGTGTGTGTGTACGAAAGAGCCAAGCCCCCTGTAGGATGAGATTTCTGCATAATTATGTTAATACATACTGTAAGTATTGGTACAGTTATATGCACTGCTGTATGTATCTTTTAATGTGCTGGTTACTTAAACAACCTTGTATATAAGATCATAGAATCAAAGGTAAAGGTAAAGGGACCCCTGACCACTAGGTCCAGTCGTGACCGACTTTGTGGTTGCAGCGCTCATCTCGCTTTATTGGCTGAGGGAGCTGGCATACAGCTTCCGGGTCATGTGGCCATCATGACTAAGGCGCTTCTGGTGAACCAGAGCAGCGCATGGAAACGCCGTTTACCTTCCTTCCCACCGGAGCGGTACATATTTATTTACTTGCACTTTGACGTGCTTTCAAACTGCTAGGTTGGCATGAGCTAGGACCGAGCAACGGGAGCTCACCCCATTGCGGGGATCCGGACCGCCAACCTTCTGATCGGCAAGCCCTAGGCTCTGTGGTTTAACCCACAGTGCCACCCACGTCCCAGAATCAAAGATATACCGTATTTTTCGCCCTATAGGATGCACTTTTTCCCCTCCAAAAATGAAGGGGAAATGTGTGTGCGTCCTATGGGGCGAATGCAGGTTTTCGCTGAAGCCTGGAGAGCGAGTGGGGTCAGTGCGCACCGACCCCTCTCGCTCTCCAGGCTTCGCGGACCTCTTCGCAAGCAGCGGGAGCCCGTCGCTGGGCTCCCGCTACTTGCAGAGAGTTGCCTGCATGCAGAAGCCTGCACGCGCTGAGCTCAGCGTGTCCAGGCTTCGCGGACCTCTCAGCAAGCAGCGGGAGCCCGTCGCTGGGCTCCCACGGCTTACAGAGAGCTGCTTGTTTGGGGGCTGGGGTCGGGGGAAGCCCGAGCTTCCCCCGCCCCAGCCCCATGCCTGGGGGAAAAATAATTTCCCCCCTTTATTTCCCCCCCTAAAAACTAGGTGCGCCTTATGGGACGGTGCGTCCTATAGGGCGAAAAATACGGTATGTGTACAATAGCATGCAAGAATGGTTCAAATATTTAGTAAAATGGGTAAAAACAAAAACAAAAAACTTGCTTCTTGTCAGAATCAATGAATAAAACAGGAATTAGTAAAAAGAATAAGAGAAGCTGGATGCATCTCACATGCAAGAAAGCCCTCAGTCTTAAAGGTGTGCGGAGTCATGTGTCATTTTGTAGATGGAGAGGTCCTCCACTGCGAAGTCACTGTGTGGTGTAGTGGCTAAGAGCAGTGGACTCGTAATCTGGTGATCTGCGTTCGCTTCCCCGCTCCTCCACATGCAGCTGCTGGGTGACCTTGGCCAGTCACACTTCTCTGAAGTCTCTCAGCCTCACTCACCTCACAGAGTGTTTGTTGTGAGGGAGGAAGGGAAAGGAGAATGTTAGCCGCTTTGAGACTCCTTCAGGTAGTGATAAAGTGGGATATCAAATCCAAACTCTTCTTCTTCTGCTGATTTGCAGTGCAGTTATATCCCTGGCATGTAATAAACAAAACCATGAGAGCCAGAACAGCGAATCAGGGATGGCATGGATATTACGTCACCTGCTTATGCCACCTGATTTCACCATGGCTCCCAGGTGCCAGTTTGAAACGAACTGAACATGAAAACAAGTACACGATGAAAGCAGCTAAGAAAACATTTGTGGGTAAGTAAATCACCTCCCACACTCTGGAATACATTACTCACCTCAAGCAAAAGTCAGGTGGCATTTGAATATCAGTAGGTGATAGTGATTAGTTCCTGTCAAACTTGTTTCTCCCTTTCTCTCTCTTCAGATCAGATGAAGACACCATAAGGGAGCTGGTACTGTCAAAAGGCAAAACAAACGTCAGCCTCGTCACAAACTCTCTGTGGACTTGCATTCTTTCCAAAAACTGTTGTTTTTTTTTACATCCTCCCTTGAAAAAAAAACACATTTCATCTTTATTGGGGCTTCCAGCAGTGTTCCTGTGCTATCACTCAGACAACAAATGTGTGCAAAGGGCGGGACGCGGGTGGCGCTGTGGGTTAAACCACAGAGCCTAGGACTTGCCCATCAGTAGGTCAGCGGTTTGAATCCCCGCGACGGGGTGAGCTCCCGTTGCTTGGTCCCAGCTCCTGCCAGCCTAGCAGTTCGAAAGCACGTCAAACTGCAAGTAGATAAATAGGTACCACTCCAGCGGGAAGGTAAACAGCGTTTCCATGCGCTGCTCTGGTTCGCCAGAAGTGGCTTAGTCATGCTGGCCACATGACCTGGAAGCTGTACGCCGGCTCCCTCGGCCAATAAAGCGAGATGAGCACCGCAACCCCAGAGTCGGCCACGACTGGACCTAATGGTCAGGGGTCCCTTTACCTTTACCTATGTGTGCAAAAGATGGGCAACCCTTCTGTTGCTGTGGCCGCCAGTTCTTAGGCTGCTTGGCTACAGGTCAGCCAACATACTCAGCTCAGCTTGTGCACATGTGTGTACATTTTTACAATGATGGGAGGGAAAATCAACATGGGAAGGTGTGGGAACTCTAAGAATTTTTATGTGGTGGAACCTTCTTATCTTAGCATTAACTAGCTGAGGGGTTTGTTCTCCTTCCCTCTTTTTGAAGTATTGCTGCTGCTTTTAAGTGGATAATTAACTCCCCACATCAGCCTGCAAGCATTCCAGGAAGGAACAGAGAACCCCATGGAAACATTGGAAGTTGCCTGAAGTGGTCCCACAAATGTGGACGGAAGGGTACTTGGACCATTGTCACATTTGGTATTGCTGGGAGATAGGCGAGCCTCTGCTCATGACGCTAGACTTTGTGGGCCTGCCATGAAACTGAATGTTGGAAGATTCAGGACAAATCAAAGGAAGTCCTTTTTAACGCAGCACATAGTTAAATTATGGAACTCCTCACAGAAGGCAGTGATTAGGGCTGGGAGATATCTGTTAGGATATAGTTCCGTTCCACTTTAAAAGGAACAGGCATGACTGTTGTGTGTCATGTGCCTGTTTACATTCCAGCACAGTCTGCTGGGAACTTCCGTTTGTATATTGCTTTTGCTATGCTGCTGTTTAGTTGGACACGAAGGGAAGCAGACATGTTTTTCCTTTGTCCCTGAACTGAATAAATGCCTGTAAATAATGCTTACACATGTCTCTGTCTGCCACTTCCGTTGAGAGAAGTTATTCACTCTGCTGAGTAGAGTGTGCCAAGTCTCTAAAGGCTTGTGTCTCTGTTTGATGCTGCTCCAAGGACTAGAGGCTTGTGTCTCTGTTTGATGCTGCTCCAAGGACTAGAGATTGCCCGGCTGCCGACTGGTGGCTGGAGCCAGCTGGGGGCCTGCCAAATGCCCCCGTCTCCTGGCAGCATCCCAACAATATCTGTATTTCAACATCATGATATATCACCAGCTACCCATGGTGATATAGTGATATATCACGATGTCTGAAATAAGGAGGGGTGGCTGGGCTGGGCTGTGGAGGGAGGGAGGGAGGGAGGGAGGGAGGGAATGGGAAGGAGGAGCAACCAGGAGGGAGGGAGGAAGGAGGCACCAGCGTCGCCCAGAAGTGAAATGTGCTGTCATGGTCATGGTCATGGGGGTTCGTGATACATTGCCAGCTCAAAAATTTTGAAATTTCTTTCTGAAATTCTGAACTCTGAAAAATTGTTATCTGAAAATTCATTATCAAGAGCTGAACTCCAAACCAGTTTCAGATGATGTATTGATTTATTGCCACCTCTAGCAGTGATGGCCACCAACTTGGGTGGCTTTAAAAGGAAACTGGACAAATTCATGGAGGATAAGGCTATCCATGGTTACTAGCCATGATAACTATGCGCTGCCTCCATGGCTGACCATAGTAATGCTTTTGAATACCAGTTGCTCCCATAGAGGGAGAGAAGGCTGGAGCACAGGTTCTCCCCGCCCCCTTCCAGATTGAACCCTCCATTGGGCATTCTCCACAATGCCCTGCAGTGAGCATCATTCCGGGGGGGGGGGGGGCAGGGAATGGAATTGGGGCAACCAAAAAAAAAAAAAAAAAGACAGGGCAAGGGAGGACATTCCTTCTTTTTCTTGGGAGGTAAGAAAAAGGAGAACCTCAACAATTTTATCAGGAAATAAATCTGAGAGATTTCATCTCCACTCTAGATCTTACCTCCCGGACGCTTCAGGCCATACAGTGGTACCTCGGGTTAAAAACTTAATTCGTTCCGGAGGTCCGTTCTTAACCTGAAACTGTTCTTAACCTGAAGCACCACTTTAGCTAATGGGGCCTCCTGCCGCCGCCGCACTGCCGGAGCACTATTTCTGTTCTCATCCTGAGGTAAAGTTCTTAACCTGAGGTACTATTTCTGGGTTAGCGGAGTCTGTAACCTGAAGCGTCTGTAACTTGAGGTACCACTGTACTACTTAATATGCCAAAATCTGCCAGTCTGCTCCTCACCTTGAAAAATACCAAGGCCCCATCACTGGTGGACAAAGGTGGGGGTGGGGGGAGTGGTCCGCCCTGGGTGCCATCCTGGGGGGTGACATCGCGGCCGCCCCATCCCCAGGACACTCAGCGCTCACCGCACACCCCCAGGATGCTCAGTACTTGCCGCACACACATCCCGACACACACCACACACCCCCGTGGGCGGCATGCCATGCCCCCTGGGACATGCGCCAGCCACGCTCCTGGATATATGCCACTCCTGGTGCCAGAGCAGGTAGCTTCGCCACTGTGCCCCATCCCTCATCTCTCAAAATCTACCAGATTCTACTACCTGGTCCACCAAAAGCTCCCCAGGCTAAACCCCGTGGCAAAATCTATATTCAGCATGAATTACTGACATACCACCGATTTAGGGATGGGAGAGAGATTCAATTCATATTTAAAGGCAATGCTGTTTGTCTAGGAAAAGTTGTGCCAGGACTCACCAAGAAAATCTTGTTCTCTTAAAATGGCAATGGCACCCACCTGAGAGGGGCCGGGACTGAGTTCTGGTGAATTCCAGCTGGGGAAAAAAGCCCTGGTTAAAGGTATATTCATCTAATTTGCCCTTTCTGAACCAAAATGCAGCTCCTTTGAAATCCGCACTTCTTCGATTTTGTAGCGCAATTCTCCAAGTGCAATTTCAGCTTCTCATCTTCGTAGGGGTTTGGGGCAGGAGGGATCGATTAGTTTAAAGAAAGAATCATGTGGGATGGAAGTTCTGTTTGTGAAAGCACAGCAGTATATAGCGAAGCTGCACTTACGAAAGACCCTACCAGTTTCCCCGCTGCGGCCAGGATTAAGGTTTTCTGGACAGCACTGTGAATAAATTATTTTCCCCTCCATGAGCCTCTTTCCTTGACATTTAATTTATGCATCATGTTGACTTTTTAAAGAACAGAAAGAAATAATCCTTTGTTATTAACAGTACTGTTAATAAGCACTTGGTGTTCATTAACTCCTTGCATTTTTCAATGAATCACTCCGTTCAGACCCCCCAAGAGTTGAAATGCACAGACTCTGGGGAATTTACACAGCTACTGTTAATAACAGAGATTCTTAATTCTCTTTCTACACAGAGTATCCCTCTTGTATTCCACAGTATCCACTAGATTCATCAAGGCAAGCTGACCAGATGTACTGAGATTTTAAAAAAAGGGAGTGAATTAACCTTGGCTTTGTTTTCAGAGCAAAAGCAAACTTCTCAAGTCCAGTAAGAGAAGTAAGAGAAGATAAAATGCTGCAGGATATTCCTTAATTTCATAGGCCAGCCGTGAAAATGTACTACTGAATGAACATGAGGCAATTTAGAAATAATCATTTCCATTGCAGTGCAGACTGCCGTAGACGATCTGCTTCCAGCCTAAGCAACTAAACAATGCCATGTCAAAGATTTAAGGTTAATCCACATTTCTTCTTGTCCTGCTCCTTTCCCCCAGGGAAAATCACTGTTTAGCACTTAGAGGGAAAAGAAACCTTTAAAATAGTGTCTATCCTGGGTTGCCAGGTCATGTGACAGAGCTGAATGGGCTTAGGAGCCAGCCTACATCTCCCCTCTGCTCCTGCCCTCACCATACCGCTGGAATTCCCCTTTTGGGGACTTACACACAGCATTAAAAATGTTTTGGATCTTCTTAGCCCATGAAAAGCTTTATATTGTGGGTTATCTATTGTGCGAAGTTTTGTACTACAGACATCCAGGCTGCTGCGAACAGTTATGTTACCAGTTCTTTAGATTGCAATCTTTGGTTGCAGCCCATATTTTTGTATCTTTACATTTGCTGATCCAGTTTGTGTAGATATCTCATGCATGATAAAATTAAATTAAATTTAAAAACAAAACAGAAAAAGGACACAGCTGGCTGGCTGAAATCTTCAACTGGAGCACTCTTGTCAGGGATGAAATATTTCGATGCAGAATCCAGCAGCAGGGGTAGGTTGGCTTTAGATCCATTCCAGCTTTCGCTCTGGTCATGGGACCGAGACGGCTCTGGTCATCCTTAACTGATGATTTCCATAGGCGGCTGGACCGAGGTGGGTTGGGGCTGTTGATTCTCTTAGATCTATCAGCAGCCTTCGACGTGGGCAATCACAAACCTCTGGACCGCCGCCTCGCCAACATGGGGATTCGGGGCACAGTCCTTCAATGGCTGCACTCGTTCCTTTCTGGTTGGGGACAGAGGGTGGCACTGGGCAGGGGAAGAGCTGTCGTTGCACCACTCCTTGGTGTGTGGAGTGCCGCAGGGCGCAATTCTCTCCCCAACGCTTTTCAACATCTTTATGTGCCCCCTTGCCCAACTTGTCCGGAGTTTTGGGTTGGACTGCTATCAGTATGCTGATGACACCCAACTCTAGCCAGCGTGGTGTAGTGGTTAAGAGCGGTAGTCTCGTAATCTGGGGAACCGGGTTCGCGTCTCCGCTCCTCCACATGCAGCTGCTGGGTGAGCTTGGGCCAGTCACACTTCTTTGAAGTCTCTCAGCCCCACTCACCTCACAGAGTGTTTGTTGTGGGGGAGGAAGGGAAAGGACAATGTTAGCCGCTTTGAGACTCCTTAAAGGGAGTGAAAGGCGGGATATCAAATCCAAACTCTTCTTCTTCTTCTATATGTTGATGGTCGGCCACCCTGACTCGACCCCAGACACACTGATCAGATGTTTGGAAGCTATGGCTGGATGGTTTGGAAGCTATGGCTGGATGGTTACGTGGGAGCCGGTTGAAGTTAAATCCTTCAAAGACAGAGGTCCTTTGGCTGGGTCAGGACAATATGGGGTTGGCGGGGCCAACTCCCATCCCTTGTGGGGGTGCAATTAGTGTCAGCGCCTTCCGTCAGGCATTTGGCACCTCCCTTTCTATGGAGGCGCAAGTTACAGCTACAACAAAGGCGGCATTTTTTCATCTCTGCTGAGCTAAACAGTTGGTCCCTTATCTCTCTCACCCTGACCTCGCCACTGTGATCCATGCGACGGTCACCTCCAGACTTGATTATTGTAACTCACTCTACATGGGGCTGCCCTTGAGACTGACCCAGAACTCCAGCAGGTGCAGAATGCTGCAGCGAGACTCCTCACGGGGTCCTCGCCACGGGAGCACATTCATCCGGTGCTATACCAACTGAACTGGCTCCCGGTGGAGTACAGGATCAGGTTTAAAATGCTGGTTTTAACCTTTAAAGCCCTATACGGCCTAGGACCCTCATACCTACGGGACCGCCTCTCCTGGTATGCCCCACAGAGGACCTTAAGGTCTGCAAATAATAACACCCTGAAGATCCCAGCCCCCAGGGAGATTAGACTGGCCTCGACCACAGCCAGAGCCTTTTTGGCTGTGGCCCCGGCCTGGTGGAATGCTCTCTCACAGGAGACCAGAATTGACATCTTTCCGCAGGGCCTGCAAGACAGAACTGTTCCGCCAGGCCTTTGGTTGGGGTTCAGTCTGATTCTTTTCTTTCTGTATAAGAACAAGCATTAAAGAGACCTCCTAGCCTGCTCATAGATCCTTTATAAGACCAGTGGTAACAGTTGGCCCTAGAGAATATTAACCATTCTCAATTTTACCCGTGGACTGCCATCGGTCCAGATTTTAATTTGTTCTGAACTAATTCTAAGATGTATTTTAATTAATTGATTGCCTGTTTTTATGTTCTTATGTTCTTTGTATACTGTGTTAGTTTTATGATGTTAGCTGCCCTGAGCCCGGCTGCGGCCGGGGAGGGCGGGGTACAAATAAATTGTTGTTGTTTCAATCCTAGCAAAAGCACCACAAAATTCAAGTCTGAAATCTGGGGGGGGGGGGGACCTTTTAAAACTGAGCAAAGATTTGTATTGCAGGCTTTACAGCTTTCCACTTGGTCCTTTTAACAGTTCTTTGTGGTGAATCAGAAGCTACCTTCAAAACAGTCCCCCCCAAAATCACACCATGCAGTGTATAAGGGCTGGTGTTCTTTCCATGAAAAGCACCAATAGCTTCTCTTTACTCTTTGCTTCTGGATCATTGCCCAAGTCTCCCTCATGTTGGCAAACACACAAAATCTGTGCAAGTTTGAGTGTTGTCCCCCATAAGAATACCGAGGTTCCACTAACTGCTCACTGCCTGTTTGTTAACTGCCCGTTAACTGTCCCTTTGTTAACTGCCCGTTAACAAAGGGACGCGGGTTAAACCACAGAGCCTAGGGCTTCCTGATCAGAAGGTTGGCGATTCGAATCCCTGCGACGGGGTGAGCTCCTGTTGCTCGGTCCCTGCTCCTGCCAACCTAGCAGTTCGAAAGCATGTCAAAGTGCAAGTAGATAAATAGGTACCGCTCCAGCAGGAAGGTAAATGGTGTTTTCATGCACTGCTCTGCTTCACCAGAAGTGGCTTAGTCATGCTGGCCACATGATCTGGAAGCTGTACGCCGGCTCCCTTGGCCAATAAAGCGAGATGAGCGCCGCAACCCCAGAGTCGGCCACGACTGGACCTAATGGTCAGGGGTCCCTTTACTTTTACCTTTATCCAGTTAACATTCTTCCAATGGGAGTCGGCATCTTTCATCTAAGGTACAATGGCCATGATTGATGAGGAGGAGTAAAAGCGATTTGCTGATAGACATACACCTGAGCTGCCAAGCACACCGTGGGATTTGATGCTCGCAGATGTCACTAAGAAAATGGTTATGGAGTGCATCTTACTTTCAGTCCATGCTTTCAGCAAATGAATCCACGCTTAGATCTAAACCCATTTGTTGGACCCTGAAATACATCTTCAATAGATGTGGCTCATAACATGCTCTTTCACCCTGGCGATGCTGCTAAATCACTATAGAGACATTAATAAGGTGTTGCTTGTGTTGGCAATACCATGCAAAGGGCTCCTGGGTCTTCCACTGAACCATGCACCGGTTGCTAATGTTGATGGGATTTTGGAGCCAGTGAAACAGAAAATTGAGCAGGCGGGCTAATTTTCTGCAACAATCTTCTGCCTCAGGCCTGGGACACAAAACCAGGGAATGGAATTCCTTGGGTGAGTTTTGCACATCATTCAGCACAATGGAATTTGTATGGATTTTCACAAAACTAGATGTTTCCCCCGCTTTTTTTTTCTTAGGCAGTGATATACTAAGAGGAGGCCATCATCTCAAACTCACTGAGCCAATTGACATTCTCTACAGAGCCTAGGACTTGCCGATCAGAAGGTCGGCGGTTCGAATCCCCGCAACAGGGTGAGCTCCCGTTGCTCGGTCCCTGCTCCTGCCAACCTAGCAGTTCGAAAGCACATTAAAGTGCAAGTAGATAAACAGGTACCGCTCCAATGGGAAGGTAAACGGCATTTCTGTGCGCTGCTCTGGTTCACCAGAAGCGGCTTAGTCATGCTGGCCGCATGTCCCGGAAGCTGTACGCCAGCTCCCTGGGCCAATAAAGCGAGATGAGCGCCACAACCCCAGAGTCGGTCACGACTGAATCTAATGGTCAGGGGTCCCTTTACATTTACCTTTACCCTCTTGCAGTTTCAAGGCCGCCCCCCCTGTCATCTGGAGCGGGGCCAGTTAAACCTGGAGACATCAGTTCAGACCTGGAGGTCTGGGAGGCCCTACATGCACTATATATTTAAAGTTGTATCATAAACAGTCATTAAAAGGTAAAGGGGCCCCTCACCATTAGGTCCAGTTGTGGCCGACTCTGGGGTTGCGGCGCTCATCTCGCTTTATTGGCCGAGGGAGCCGGTGTACAGCTTCCGGGTCGTGTGGCCAGCATGACTAAGCCGCTTCTGGAGAACCAGAGCAGCGCACGGAAACGCCGTTTACCTTCCCGCCGGAGCAGTACCTATTTTTCTACTTGCACTTTGACGTGCTTTCGAACTGCTAGGTTGGCAGGAGCAGGGACCGAGCAGTGGGAGCTCACCCTCTTGCGGGGATTCGAACCGCCGACCTTCTGATCGGCAAGCCCTAGGCTCTGTGGTTTAACCCACAGCGCCACCCGTGTCCCAGTCATTACTTTCCCCCATAGAATGCTGAAGTTTGGCAAGGCTGCTGAGAGTTGTCAGGAAACCCTATTTATACAGTGGAAGATCATGGGGGGGGGGGGCAGTTGGTTTTCAGTGGTAGCTGAGAACCAGTCAAAAGGATGAGACTGCACTTGGTTGCAGGTGAAATGAAAGACCTCTGCCGTAGACTCTGCTGCCAGTCAGAGTAGGAGACAATAGGCTACAGGAAATGGTCAAACGGCCTGCCATCATATATGGCAGCTTCCTACACTCTTTGCAGTTCCCCATCTTCTTTGCTTGAAACTGGTTTGGTCTATATGGCATCTTTGCCCCCGTTGTGAGCTGTAAATGCACATCTCAGCGAGAGCCTTATGCGCCGCACAAGAACCATTTCTTCCCACAGCAGGCTCTGCCTCTCTCGATGCTAAATTGGCTAATAAGGACTCCTGATGATTTATAGGATTGCATGGGGAGCGGTAATGAGTTTGCTTGACATCTCTGCAAAACGCCTGGCCTGCTTCTGATAGCTGCCAGTAATGAATCACCATCTAACTATTAGGGTCAGCCAACTGACAGAGCAATACTTGAGATTGGGGCGGGGGGGGAGAGAGAACGGTGGATCTTATTATGCTGTCTAATAGTATATGAGTAATTTGAAATCCGGCATCAAATGAAAAGGCAAAAGAAAATCTCAGAGAAGATTAACCAGTTGTACAAATCAACATTGCCTTGGATCCTCAGTTGCTGTCACTGGTGGAAGAAGTGATTTCCGTAAATTTTCTTCTGAAATTCCTTCTGAAAATCTAGGTGGGACTCTCCAGAAGAGTGTGCAGGATGGGGGGCAGCAGGGGGAGGGAGAATCAGCAAAATTGAACTCAACATGTGGAAGCCATTCTTGGACAAAAAGCCCCATGCATATGCAGAAGAGATGCATGAGAGTCAACCCACCGCCGTTAAGTATTTTTCTCAGTGTGTAAGTAATAAACAAACCTTGTTGGCTGCTATCTATTATTCAGCAAAGTTGTAAAGAAATCATCTGCATTTTCCCTCTTCTGCCTTTTGTTTCTTGTAGGTTGTTTCTTAAAAGCAAAAACCTGCAGCACATCTGAGGAATCGTGATGGAAACCTCAAGGAGTGTGATAATAAAAACAACACTGGAAAGGAAAGCTTTCTGCACCTTCTTAGGTTGTTGTCAGGTTTCGCATGAAGTAAAGGTGGCTTGAGGGACGCAGGTGGCACGGTGGTCAAAACCACTGAGCCCCTTAGGCTTGCCGATCAGAAGGTTGGCGGTTCAAATCCCTGTGACGGGGTGAGCTCCCGTTGCTCGGTCCCAGCTCCTGCCAACCTAGTAGTTCAAAAGCATGCCCAAAAAAGTGCAAGTAGATAAATAGGTACCACTCTGGCGGGAAGGTAAATGAAGTTTCTGTGCGCTGCTCTGGTTTCGCCTGAAGTAGCTTAGTCATGCTGGCCACATGATCCGGAAAAACTGTCTGCGGAAAAACGTCGGCTCCCTCAGCCAGTAAAGTGAGATGAGTGCCACAACCCCAGAATTGTCTGTGACTGGACTTAACTGTCAGGGGTCCTTTACCTTTTTTTAAACTGTGGCTTAATTTTTTTAAAAAAAATCCTCAGGCCAAACAAGTGACAAATTCTGGAGAAAGTCCAAACAAATGTCATTAAAACTAGCAAAAAAATATCAGGGTGGGTTAGCATATCCCGTCCGTAATATATTTGCTACATTTGTACACCACCGTTCCGTCAAGGAATATCATATCCTCATAATCTGTGTGTGAAGACAACTGAGCTGAGAGACAGTAACAGATCTGAAGAACAAGTGAGTCCTGCGACAAAATATTGCAGTGTTGTGTGGCTCCTGTTCAGGGTTCCTAGCTGCTAGCCAGCTGGCCAGCCATGTCAGCTCTGGGATACTCCATTCCATTGCCTCCCCCCTGATTTTCAGCCCTCCTACCCCACGAATAGTCAACATTCCACACCCACTGAGTATGCTTGTTCCTCATTGGTCTGTTCTGAGTGCTCCCTTCCTGCCCCCCTTGTTATTTGAACTGGCCTGTTAATTCCTATGTCAGCCAACTACTATATATTTTTTGCTCTTTCCAGCTTAGCAACTATTTTTGTTTGTGTTGCTGCCCAGATAGACTAAATGCTGGTAGACAAATCGTGGTGATCTTATACACCCTAGCACTGGGTATTAATTGGATTTCTAATTAGTTACAAATCTTTAGCCTTGGGAAGAGGTGGCTAATAACCACCCGACCATCTAATTCACTGCATCGGAAAATCCGGTGTCATTTCTCTTGATGCTTCACATTGATTTTTGAAACCAGACCACTGAAGCTAAAAATTGGATTTTCAAACAGATATTCAGAACAAGTGTAAGATGCAGCCTGCAGCGGGATTGTACCCTTACATAGTTCATATTTTGTAAAAATTAGTCTGTTATTAGCAGGCCCCATGGGACGCAGGGGGTGGACACAATGCTTGCCACAACAGCAGGAGTGGGGAACCTCTGCCCCATGTGCCAAACCTGACCTCTCCATTGGGCTCACCTTCTTCATGCCTGACATCATATGCAGCTGCAGGAAGAAGGACTGAACACCTGCTTGGTTCAGGTGTGCCAGCCAGTTGCCCATTAGTTGCTTGGGGATATTCCTAGCCCAACCTGGAGATGTTGGGGATTGGACCTGAGACCTTTCACATGCAAGGTAGTTGCTCTAGCACAGAGTTACAAGCCCTGCCCCAAGGAGGCAGATGCAGAGAAGGGCATTTGAATAAACCCAGAATCGTAGAGTTGGAAGAAGAAGAAGAGGAGAGGTTTGGATTTGATATCCCGCTTTATCACTACCCGAAGGAGTCTCAAAGCGGCTAACAATCTCCTTTCCCTTCCTCCCCCACAACAAACACTCTGTGAGGTGAGTGGGGCTGAGAGACCTCAGAGAAGTGTGACTGGCCCAAGGTCACCCAGCAGCTGCATGTGGAGGAGCGGGGAAGCGAACCCGGTTCACCAGATTATGAGACTACCGCTCTTAACCACTACACCACACTGGAAGGGACCCTATTACAACTCCCTGCAATGCAGGAATATTTGTCCCATGCGAGGATAGAACCTGCAACCTTGGCGTTAACAGCATCACGCACTAACCAACTGAGCTAACCAGGCCCTTGCACCTCATGGATAATAAAGGCTCCTGTGAAAGAGGGTAGCTGGCGCAGATGATGGATTGCTTCCTCTGTCTGAAGTTCTTGCTTGATGCACATGCATGTTGAGTCAAACTCCTGGAGGGGCGAGGTGCTACTAGGACTGACAGCAAGGTCACAATATCTCGGCCAATCTCTGCCAAAGGCTCCATAACCCATACCCTCCAAGTGCCCCTATTTTCCAGGGACAGTCTCGGAATCGCGAAAGCCACCCCGGCTTCTAGATTTGTCTAGAATGTCCCTATTTTTCCCACCAGTGCCTCCACCATCCTCAGGGATGAGGATGAGCTGGTGCTGAAATATACATTTTTTAAAAAACCAGAAGCATTTTTACTTGGTATTATAGGTCAGGACATTAATAGGCAAGATGTTAAATTGTTTTTATATGCAACAACTGCAGCAAGAGTGTTGTTAGCCCAGAAATGGAAACAAGAAGAAATTCCGACGAAAGAAGAATGGCAGACGAGATTAATGGACTATGCAGAATTGGACAAAATGACAGGAAGGATTCGAAACCTGCAGGACCAGAGATTTACAGAAGATTGGAAGAAGTATATGAATTATTTGAAGAGCAACTGTAATCAACAAATTACGCTAGTAGGATTACAAGAAGTTTTGTAAGGAGAAATATACAAAGTGTTACAAAGTAGAAAAAGATAGAGATATTGGTTATGAGTTTGAAATGTAATAGGGAAGATAAGAAATGCATACTGAGAGATTAGATTGGAAAATTTTCAGACAGGATTGATGGAAGTCAAAAATTTGAATAAGATGTAAAAGTATGTTTAATTCCTGTTGAAAATGATATGTTAAAAAAACTAATAAAAACATTATAATAATGAGGATGAGCTGGTGCTTATGCTGAGTAGCAAAGGTGGCTGCATTTGTGAGGGAGCATCCCGTTGCCTCTCCATGGCTGCTGCTGTCGGCCTCCTCTCTTGGGCTGCTGGAGACCAGGTGAGGAGGAAGAAGAAGAAGAGTTTGGATTTGATATCCCGCTTTATCACTACCCAAAGGAGTCTCAAAGCAGCTAACATTCTCCTTTCCCTTCCTCACCCACAACAAACACTCTGTGAGGTGAGTGGGGCTGAGAGACTTCAGAGAAGTGTGACTGGCCCAAGGTCACCCAGCAGCTGCATGTGGAGGAGCAGGGAAGCGAACCCGGTTCACCAGATTACAAGTCCATCGCTCTTAACCACTACACCACACTGGTGTAGGAGGAGGACAGGCTGTTGTGTGTGCTGGGGGACAAAAACCCGGGGTTGAGGAGGGTCAGTCGGGGAGGGAAGTGAGAAATGTCCCTATTTTCATCTGAGGAATGTTGGAGGGTTTGCATAACCACCAAAATCTTTTAGCTTTTCCATAGAAAAAGCAACGGTGATCACACTCTGCACCTGACACTTTTCCCCGCCTGTCTTTCTAGGAACCAATCCAAAGGGAGTTGTCGCTGATGGATTTGGTACCGAAAAACAAGAGCCATTTCCAAAACGGATTACTTGTGCCTTAGAAGTAAGGAATGAGAAAATGCATGAAGCATGAAACCAAGAGGGGGAATCTTGTGCCTGTAATAAATCATGTAATAAGGTCAAAAGAAACCTTATTAAGTTTAGAAGAATTACAAACTCGGCCGCGCCAAGGAAATGTTCTTATAACAAAATAAAGGCACCAAACGAAGGGGCTGCAACATTGAGAAGATCCGTTATTCAGAAGATTCAATGGGGGCACCAAATTTTGGCCCAAGGAAGGAGCTTGAGGACACTAGCACTCAAGGAAACAAATGGAACAACCTTTAAATCATCTCTAGTCCTGCAATTCTCCTCTTTATAGGCCTATTCATTTTTGCTCACTTGCCCATTCTGGGAAGTGAACGGCAAGTTCTGCTGATAACAAAACAGATGAAAACTCAAATGACAGGAGCCGAGTTCATCTAATGTCAGCAGAGGAGACACAACAACATCTCCATGCTGAGCTGCTCTGAAAAATTAGTCCGTGTTCCGATTTTGCAGAAAAAACACTTTCCTCATTCACCTTCCAGGAATCGGAAAAATCAAGCGGGGAACCTTTTTGCTTTGATGCTCTGCTCTTTTGTGTCGGAGTGAGATGCAATTGATATGATTTTCAAGGAAGAAGAATGCAATGGCCCCCTAGCAGAGACCCTGCTGGAGTGTCTTTTCAGTGGCACCAGTTAAAATGCTGCAATGGTCGCTCCATTTCCTTTTGCATCAGTACACCAGAAATCAACATTTTTAAAAATCAGCTTTCGTGCCTCTGCTGGCCACTTTAGTGGGCTTAAATTCTTTGTAAATGGAGCTCAGACTACCTTGTGGGGCAGAGGAGATAATACGAATCACTTTGATGAAAAGTGCGGAAAAGCCTAACGTAAAAATTATTTCAGGGTCTTACAGATTCTGTGTCCCCACCTTTGCATTTCTTGGCAGCAGAAAAATGCACAGTGTAACGGCATTATGACATAAGGCATCTATTCCCAGAGGAGAAACAAATAAGCCCTCTGTGGTTCCAGAAAGCAGGAGCAAACCCAATGAATAGAATTGGCAGGGAAGAAGAATTTGGCAAAACTTTAGGACAGGTGTGGGGAACCTGTAACTTTTTGGGTGTTGCTGGACTACAATTCCCATCATCTCCAGCCATTGGCCATGCTTGCTGGGGCTGATGGGAGTTGTAGTTCACCAACATCTGGAGGGTCAAAGTTTTCCCCACAACTGCCTTAAGAGAAATATCTGAAGAACTGTTTGACAGTGGAGAAGCTGTCCTTGGGAAGCAGTGGAGTCTCCTTCGCTGAGACATTTCTAAAAGGTTGGGGTGGCCATCTGTCAGGGGTGCTGCAAGTTGCATCCTGCAATGAGCAGTGGGTTGGACGTGATGATCTCTGGGACTCCCTCCCAACTGTATCACTCCAAGAACAAAATGACCACAGGGATGGCTTCTGAAATTCTTCTTATCTGAATTTTCCCCAGGGTTCAAGTTCACCTGCTGTTCTTTCGTCCTTGAAATGGAAGCAATGGCTTAGGAATTAAGCATGTCAACTACCATGGTGGCTCTTTTGGAAATCCAAGAAGTTTGCCTTCTCCAAAGTCACCTTTTCTCTTTCTAAGCTATCAGTGCTATCTTTCATTTTGTTTCTGAATTTGAAGTTACCTGGGATTTCTACTGAAGTCACAGTTTGCATTTGGGATTCTCTGTTCATCTCAGTTTCCGTCTAGGTTACCTTGCCTCTCTCTGTTAACCTGCCTGCGATCATTACATTTTCTGCTTGTGGCTTTATTCAGCACTCATGTGGACGGATGGCACCACACCCCCTTCCCATCCCCAGCTCTTCTGTTGTCTCATCAAGAAGGCTACTTGAATGCCAGACAGACTGAGCGTATCATTGCCATTCATACTGATGGAGCTTTTCAGCAGGAACATTATTGCTGGAGTACTTAAAAGGCAACCTACCAGCCCCTCCAAGTTCTTTTTAAAAAACAAAACCACAGGGAGAGTTTACAACAGAGAGATTTATATAGTTTCTTTCATGGATGGCTCATTATTCATCTTCAATGGTGACAGTGGGAAGTAAGATCTGCTCAGTGCATTACTGGAGAGCCCAAGCTCTTCATATGCTTTGCATACATTAGGTGCCCCAAGGTTCAATTCCTGTCGTACCTGGTTAATTTGATCCCAAGTATCTGGTCAGGGAAAGATCTCTGACCTTGGAGCATCTATGATACTTTTGAACACCTAAAGAGGCTACTCTATTTCACCCTGTAGGGGCCACAACTGTCCAGTTTCATAGCCAGTCATAACCTATTCTGAGTGCAAATAGCTTGATGGCCATACTTGAGTTTCAATGGGCATGGAACCAAGTGTACCATGATTTTTTGTTCTGTATACTTGTTGAAACTCCTGGAGTGTTCTTTCTCTGGAAACCACTTCGGTCTCAATGGTTTAGGACAGATAGTGTCAAGATTCCCTAGTCCAACAAAGTTTAAGGTCTAGATTCAGTCTATGCAGATTATTTGGGGCCAGGAAGAATAATGCAGAATATGGTTCTGGTTTGGGGTGTTTTTTGTTTTTTTTAAAGGGTGGATTTATGGCTCAGCTGGCCATCTGTTTCTTTGTTTATACAACAGAGTAAGTGCGATGTAGTGGCCAGAGCAAGGATGAGGAAACTGTGACCCTCCAGATGTGGTTGGACTCCATCTCCCATCATCCTTGACCATCAACCATACTGACTAAGGCTGGTGGGAGTCAGAGTCCAACAGTGTTTGGAGGGTCACAGGCCCCCTATCCCTGACTAGAGAGTCAAAGCTTAGAACTAGGAAGGGTGCTTAAATTCTCTGAACTCAGGTTAGAAAACGAACTTTGAGAACACAGAAAAAACTCATGTCAAAGGAGAAGGAATCCCTACAAACCCCAGTGTTCTTCCCTGACTTGGAGGGCAGATGCAGTTCTCCTGAGGGCCACACCCAGACTCCTGTAGCTTCTTTTGCTGTAGCCTTCTCTAGTACATCAGCCACCAAGTGAGGTCTTCTAAACAAGCGTGAGTTTAAATGGCCATTTAATCTGCCTGGAGAGGAAATTAAATTTACTGAGCCTGCCTTTCGGTGTCATCCGACAAACCACATGGTGATTTCCCAGCAGAGCAGCACAAAGAGAACGTCCACAGTAAAAGCAAGACCAGCACATTTGATGTCCTTTCTCGGGTGACACGCTGTTCTTTATAGACATCTCTCTGGAGAAGTTTGACGTCCTCCTGGCTATTCAGATTACTCACTTGTATTAGCTGCTCCCTGGTTCCATTCCATCCTAAGGGGGGAGTCTATGATGCCCTTGCAGGGGTGCTGTTAGGGAGGGAGAGACCCAGGTCTTTAATTTCCTGGCCGCAGGCCTGCCCCTTCCCCACCAATTTATTTGGTGAGCACACGGCAAAGTGAGGGTGAGATCCCAGCTACCCATCATCCTAATTTCCTCACAGGCATTCTACACATTTACGCATCATGGTCCTGTTACCCAGATCTTCTGGGTACCTGCGGGTGTTCCTGGTGATGCCCTTGACTAGGTGTTATTATCTGGGCTGGCCTTCTCCGTCTCTTTGTAGCAGAATGGTTTTCTGCCTCTGAGATTTTCTGCCTGCCCTTTGACAGCTAAGGGGCTTTTTGTGAGACCCACCTCTTCTGTTTTGCTTTAACCTGTACTGTGATGCTTTTGTGTAGAATGATTCTACTGCATGGGATGTTTATATTGTTGCAAACTGCCCTAGGACATTATGGTGAAGAGCAGCTAAGAAACCTAACAAATGAATAAGCCGAGACCTTTCAGCTAGGAAGAGGCCTATAAACGGAAATAGTAATGAGAACACAGGAACGTAAGAGCCTTTTGCATCAGGTCAGTGAAGCATCTAGTCCAGAATACTTTTCTCATAGTGGTCAGAGAATTCAAGCACAAAAGCACTCTCCCTTCTTGTGGTTTCTGGCAACTCGTACCCAGAGCATAGCCATCATGGCTAATAGACCTTGATAGAATTTGTTTAATCCTCTTTCAAAGCCATCTAGGTCAGTGGCAATCATTGGCTCCTGCAGGAGGGAGTTCCTGGGAGGGGAGGGATGTCAAGAGGGCAAGCTGCCCAGCATGCCCCTCAAATCATCCAGCTCATGATTTTCATGCTGACAATCCAAGGTCTCCTTCCAGTTGGCAGGGCTGAAGCCATACAGAGTTGCAGTCAATTAGAGAAGACTGTTGTGCACTAGGTGGGCCAAAGGCTTGACCCCATAGAAGGCAGCTTACTGGGTCATCACACAGTTGTTCCCTTGAACTGGGTCACAGACATTTGCAGCTCACAGAGTTTGACTCAGTGGCATATTGAGAATTGTGCCTTTGCAGTTTCTGGCTACGTTGCAAGTCAATGGTGGTTGCTCCTCATTGCCCTCCGTGGGCAGTGAGGAGGTTCATATCAGTATTTTCATCCCTCCCATTGCAAAGATCACCAGATCATGTTTGTTTTCCTTTCTGTCTCTGAGAAAGGAGCGGGCGGAAACCACTCTCCCAGACTTCCGTCCCCAGTAGTGTGCCTGTTTTTCTTTGATCTGTCTAGAGACTAGATGTCAGTATGAGAGAGCTGACTCTCTCGTCCATGTTACCTCGGGTTACATACGCTTCAGTTTACAGACACTTCAGGTTATAGACTCCGCTAACCCAGAAATAGTACCTTGGGTTAAGAACTTTGCTTCAGGATGAGAACAGAAATTGTGCTGTGGTGGCGCAGTGGCGGCAGCGGGAGGCCCCATTAGCTAAAGTGGTACCTCAGGTTAAGAACAGTTTCAGGTTAAGAACGGACCTCCAGAACAAATTAAGTTTGAGAGTCTTCTGAGAGACTTCAGAGAAGTGTGACTAGCCCAAGGTCACCCAGCAGCTGCATGTGGAGGAGCGGAGACGCGAACCCGGTTCCCCAGATTACGAGACTATCGCTCCTAACCACTACACTACACTGGCTGAATGAATCGGAGAGTAAACTATTTTTATATTAACATTAATAAGATTCT